ATTAGATGTATTTATAAATTATAATTTATTAGATATTTTAATATTTTAATTACATTGTCAATTGTAAGTTATACAATTTGTACAAATTAATTTAGTAGTAAAAGATTGTTTATGTTATAGACTTTAAAATATATATTTATTAAAATAAATAATTAATTTTAATAAAATAATTCATTTTTTAAAATAAATAAATAAAGAAAATAATATTTTTTGTATATTGTTATTTTGTTAGGTATTTATATTTATATTTGTTGGAAGTATTAAACCTTTAAATAATATCATTAATTGATACAATAGAATTAAGAATAAATATCATATATTTTGATATTTTTGATATTCTCATCCAAAATATTACAAATTCTTATTTAAGTAATTGCATGTAATTATACTTTCCTATAATGTTTTGTTAGGTTATGTAGGTATTTATATAAAGTAAAGATTTTAAATACAAAAAAGTTAATTTACTATTATTTATAGATTATGAAGTAAAATATAGTTAAAATTTAAATACATATATATTTAGTAACATATAATATAATATTTTCAGACTGGTAGAAGTCGTGGTTATGGATATGTGGAGTTCATGCATCCTGAGGTTGCTAAAATAGCTGCAGAAACAATGAATAACTATCTTATGTGTGGAAGATTATTAAAAGGTATTATACAATATTATAATAATATTATTAAGCAATTTACACATCAAATTTTAGTTACACCATGCTGATATTATTTCATATATTTATTTAGCTACGTATATTCCACCTGAGAAACAACATAATGGTTTCTTCACTGGTGAGTCATGGTCGAAAGAAATTTATCCTAAAATAATAAATAGAAATAAAGTTACTAAAATAAGAAATGGAAATGTTAAAAAACAAAAGCATATAAATTTTGTACAAAGTACGAGAAATAAGTTATCTGCATTAGAAAAGAAATTGAAAGAAAAGGGTTTTGATATAAATTTCATACCAGTAGATGATTCTAGATAATATTAATAATCTTTTATTAAACACAATAATACAGATGTACAATTAAGTATTATGGAGATATTGAACACATTTCTTTGATTATATAATTTCACATAATTTACTATTTACAATTAACCATTGTATAAAATGCTTGAAAAAAGTGAAGAAATACTTATTAAGAAATGTTAAGTTTTTCTGGTCCATTTCCTAAACCTGCTTTTGTCCTTTTCCATTTCATTCGTCTATTTTGAAACCATACCTTTACCTTAAAAATTAAATCTGTTTTATTAAATTCAGATAGATAATACATATTTTTTTTCTAACACTCTAAAATAAGAATAAAATAAAATATAATTTATATTTTCTGTATTTAACATGAAACATAAATGATGAATTATTGTTTAAATTCTAAACAATAAAGAGGTATACCATCGACATATTTAATTTGTGAGTGTTAGAGAGTTTTAATGAGAGTGAGAACTTTTGAAAAAAAGTATTTTCAAATAGCCTTTGTGCTTGTTTTAAAACTCATATTCACAATTTTGATCAACTATTTTAACATTTTTTATAACCAATTAATTGAAAAATCTAAAACTTAGTTCACTTGATGTATGAATTAATATGTATTGAATTTTATATAAATTTGTACATAAATTTATATTACACCAGTTTGTAAATTATTTATATTTTTTAATTTATTAGTATAAATTGCCAGCAGTAAGTAATATTTCAATTTTTTAAACAAGTTAAATATTATACTTGAATAGATAAAATATCGAAATGAATTAAATAAATGTTTATTGTTATAATATTTTACCTGACGTTCTGTTAGATCCAGCGCAACTGCTATTTCATAGCGACGTAAACGTGTAAGATAATTACTATGCGCAAATTCATATTCAAGATGTCGAATTTGATGTTTTGTAAATGCAGTTCTTTCCTTACGAGGTTTATCGCTAGTTAATCTTTTATTTGACTCTGAAATATAAGAGTAAAATTAGTAAAAAAGTAAAAAAATAAAATATCGTTTTACATTATATGAAATATCAAAATTATTATTTGAATCAAAATTATATAAAAAAAGAAATTTATAAATTTCTAGAATATAATATTCTTTATCAAAATTTATATAAGTTTTAAGATAAATTGACACCAAAAATTTTTCTGTTATAGTTTTGAAAAAAAATAATTTTAGATTTATAAATATTAAAGTAATGAACTGCAATTTAAAAAGATTGATTTATCGTAAAGTTGTTTTGCAAAATTGATAAATAATTTCATAAAATTATATTTTTCTGGAATTGAAAATTTATATAAGATTAAATATTTTATAATATTATCTTATTCTATAAACGTATTTATTTATCTACAGTTCTTGTTTAAATTCTTGTTCCTTTTATCATGTTTTCACATGGTTAGAATTAAAATATTATTGCATGATATTAGAATATTTATTTATTATAGTGTATAGAAAATTGTAGAAAAAATTATACAGAAAATTAAAAAAAATATATAATATAATATATTTCATACACATGAAAATTTAAACATTAATGTGAATTTTATTTTTTACGAATAAAATACTATACACACTATAAATAATTATAAGATTCATAAACCACATTATCCATTACATCTATATCTTTAGTTAATTAAATAAATTTTTAAAAATTAGTTTGTTATAATTATTTTGCAATAATAAATAATCGTCTGGATGCAATAAAAAATATATATTTTTGTATTGGTATAATTTCCTTTTTTTGTGTGTTAGTATCTTTTTGTATTAATATCATCTTTAATCATGGTTTAATCATTTTCGTTAAGTTTGATAAGTAAAAATTAAATTCAGCGATCATTTTTTGTATACTTCAGTTCTATATATGATGATATAATCATGCTAAGGTTTTAACCGGTATCAGTTTTTTATTCGCAAAGTCGGCAGTCAGATGAAAATAGCTGCATTTCGATGCGTCATTACCAAGCTGCTCCCGCGTGCCAGTTAATAAACGTGCCGCTATAATGTAGGTTGTCGGAATCGCAGGATCATCTGCGAGTGATGATGTATAAAACGTGGTCGGATCGGTGGTAGAGCCCTTAGCCTTGCTTCCGTACCGCTATCTCATCTATATTTGTTAACTGACGTCAATCGAACCACTCCGCGAAATTTTACGAATATCGTTCTGTTTAAATTGTAAATAAATTCATTAACCTCCTCGATATGTTTTAACTATCTAAATTTTCAATGTTAACGTTTCGTTAAATTATGGAATATCGTTTGATATTATATATCATTAATTTTCGTTCAATATTATATTTTAATATTATTTAAAATTAAATAATATTTATGTAATATATATATATATATATAATAAATGTAAATTTATTTGTATTTGCAGTACAATAACTATCAATGTTGATGAAAACTTATATTCTGCTAGTTACGCATCTCGTTCTATTGGAAGAATGTAAAATTTAAAAGATTTTTCTTATTTTCTATTTTTATTTTGCATCAGCCTTTGATTATTAAATATTAGACGAACTATAAATTTCTGTAATCGAAAGCAGTATGTATAACAAAATTTAGAAATTTATTTATTTTTCTTTTTTTTTTTAGAGAGTAATATGTACAAAAGATTAATTATTGAGCTTCTAATTTTTTTCGAGTTTTTATGGTATGGATACATTTTTAAACATATTTAAAATGAATTCTGAGCTTGGTATCACCGAAAAGAATATTTTCATATAACGATGAACTAAAAAAAAATATAGAGGAAAATATTCAACGCTATGCTACCGTACATGTGCTTAATACTTTTCGATCATATATAATCATATATATAATCAGAATCATATACAAATATTTGAAAGTTTAATTTTTATACAATCTCATTGTCATACAATATTTCATTTTATATATTTTTATTCATAAATATATGAATATTCGAAGTGAAGATGAAAGGGAAATTAGCAATGTTCTACGTTTATTGAAAAAAAAAAACACTACGTGTTCCATCTCAATCAAATATTTTGCAATGATTTTACGAGGGCCCTGTCACTTATTAAACGCGATGAAAAGTACAGTTATATGTTTGATAAATATTTAGACTATACTGGCTCTGTTATAGCCACGTTGGCGACAGTAAAGTCGTAAATGAAGTTAATGTAGTGTTCATTGCCAATTCATATGAATAAAAGTATCTAGTAATCGTTAGCTTTAATATCCATTATGTTAGATTGATACTCTTAGATAATTGATATTTTTTTTTTTTTTTTTTTAAATCATCTTACCATTTTGTTCTACGGCTTCTTTGTCGAAGGAATCGCCGCTTAAATCGATTGTGCATCGTGAATCTTGCCTCGAACGATATTTCACATCACTTTCTACATTTTGATCGACGTTTTGATACGACGGAACTTCCCAGGCACGAAATACCGTTGTGGTTGTGGAAATTTGACGATCTTGAGTCTTTTCACAAATAAAATCTAAAGATTGTTCTGTGGAATTTATATTTATTTTTTCCATCGACTCGTCAGTTACATCCTCCTCGTCGATAGTGGTGTTTTGATGTGAATATTGTTCCCATCTTCTTAAGGAAAAGAAAAAGTTATTTAGATAAAGAAATTAATATTATATAAATTAATAAAGAAATTAATATTTAAAACTTCGAAATATTTCAAAGAATATAAATCGATGCTTCGATATTTCGTGCTTAAAATTTCTCTTTCTTTTTCGTATCAGAAATAATAATGATTATATATATACAGATAAAAAAAGTATTTGATACATCGTACAAGTATATTGAATATTTTTTGTATTTAAACATTTAAAAATATTTAAAGTTTCTTGTTTTATAATAATAGTGATCATATATAAAGATTAAGATTACTATTGATAATTTAATCAAATTAACAGTGAGAAACAATACATGTCACGAATGTTCGAATAATTGAGCAATAGCCTATAATAATATAATAATAATTAATAATATATTAATAATAATAATATAATAATAATATAAAAAATATATATTAATAATAATATAATATATTAACTAAATATATAGAAGATCCTACAACTGATGGGAATATTTACACAGTATTATTCTCTTAGAAAATTCATTTCGAATATTTATTTAATAAATACTAAAGAATCTAGTTATAGACTAATGTTTACTCAGTTTTCTCAGAAAATTGATTTTAAATATTTGTTTAATAAATATTAAAGAATTTATATGTATAAAATAATATTTATAGACTGTTGTATTACAGAAAACATAATGAGATAGAGTGATAAATTTTATTAATTTATAATTAAATATTTTAATTTATTCTGAAATAACACAAGAAAGAAAATTCGTTAATATTTAATATTAATTAAATATAATATCAAAAAAAAAGAGTTTCGTGTAAAAAAGCTTTTCAAGTAAAATTATCCTGTATCAATTTGCATAATCATTATTAGACAACATATATAACTCAACGATTAATTTCTATTTTTTCAATATCAATTTATTTAATTTATTAGACTAATGGAGAATGAAATTTAATATTTTTTTCATCGAGATACATTACATATTGTAGAAGGAAAATTTTAGAATTTGTAGCATTTTGTTTCAATTCTTTTAAGATATACGAATCATTATAATTCTAACGTTTTCATATTTATTATTATTTTCATAGTTTTAAATTTCTTTCAAAATCTAAATATATATATATACATATAATAGAAAGACTACATCTTTAGACTTAGTCTTAGTTGTAAAACATACTTTATTAAAAAGAAATTCAAAATTGATAAGAAGTACTTCTGTCTACTAATTCGAAATAAGTAACTTCCTCCTGAAATTATTAGCAATTTTTATTCCTGCAAAGCAATACTATCTGAAAATTCTTTCGTCGAGTGTTCATAATTTTAATTATTTTTATACCTGTATATTCGATAATTTCGATTCGTATTTGAATGCTGAAAGTTTGTGGTGTGGAACGGTGACAGACTAAGTTCACTTAGTGTGCTAACTGACGTTGAAATATTGCAAGGGTTTGAGAAATTATTCCACAGATATCCGTGACTCAATGAATGATCTCGATTTCCAGGGAAACAAGGATTCTGAACATTCATTTGAGATGATGGTGGCGTCGGCGGTATCGACGGGATTTCGAAAATATTTTCAGAATATTGTTGGTCTGCTGAAGTAATATTTTCTGGCCAAGACATCTCATCTAAAATGAGAAAATTTTGTAGTATTTTATTTCTGTAGTATTTTTTTTTAATTTTGTAGTATTTCATTTTTTTTTTGTAGTATTTTTTAATTTTATAGTATTTTTTTTTAATTTTGTAGTATTTTATCTTTTATACCAGAAGTACAAAAGCAGATCGTTATTTTTATTTTACGTACCAGAAGTACATAAGTAGATAATATAAAATTAGATTTTTTTACTTACGAATATCCAAAATTATATATAGAGTTTTTTTGCAGTACATTAAATACGAACAAAAGAATTAGGTTTAGAATAAAATAATAATAATAGTGATATCTAGGCTTACTAATATTAAATTATTTCCTAGATTTAGATATTTACATTTATTGTAATAGATGTTTAATATTCTATTTTAATGTTTAAACTCTGGTTTAACAGAAATATCCTGGATACATAAATTAATTAAATATATGATTATCCTATTTTAAAGTAAAATACATGATTGTGTATATATATATATATATATATATGTTTCTAATGTGTCGCAAAAAGATTCACTTACAATAACAATTGATCGTAAATAAAAAGCTGACGTTATATTAAATTGTTTTTAGGACTTGTGTTAATTGCAAAATATTTTTTACCTCTCTCGAATACTATAAATTCTTCAAATCGTAGATTCTATTTTTAATTTATTTTTTTTTTATTTTCTCTATATAAAGTAGTTAAAAAATAAGAAGAAGATATAAAATAGTTAAAAAATAAGAAGAAGATATAATAAAAACGTATCATTCTTACATCATAAGATTTACATAAATTACATAGTGATAATTTGGTAAATTTCAATCATTCGAAGAATCCAGCAAGAAAGTGTTAAGTAATATTTGAAAAGTCGGAATTAATTTTTCAATTAATCGAAATTAACGGAGAATCAAGTGGAAATATTGAAAGTGCTTACCCGATAATTCACAAATGTAATTTGATGCAACTATCACAGATAAGACGATGTAATAAATTAAATAAATTAGAAAACAGATGTACTGCGAAGCTTTGTAAAATCTTCACGAACAAATCACTGACTTGAAAAGTTACTGATTAAACAATTAATTATTCGGGAAAGCTAATTGAGGAGGATTTTTCCAATGTTGTTGCAAGATCACCCACTACTTGTGAATTGTATTAGCACTAACTTGTAAATGTCAAACAAGCACATACGACCATGCTGCGACAGGCTAGCGGAAATCAGAATAGATAGTGCATGTTGGAGAATACGAGAGCTGTGGGGCTGGAGTAGGGCTGAAAGGACAGACAAATCTTCTTGTAGAGCTCTGTCAAGTCCAACCAATCCGAACAGATCTTGATCGACCGAAGAGAAACAAGTGGTCAGTACTTTTAAAATATAAACTAACTTTGGGCGTTAACTACGTTTTTATTCTCTTCTAAATTGGCCATCAAATCACACGCACGAGTGTGTATCTTATAATTGAAGTGTGTGCCATGTTGCAACATTTTGTAGTTCGTCTAGTATCAACAAAACTGATAAAAATTTAACTCAAATTAATACAACCACATCTTAAAGATTAAAAGTATGATATGTAAAATGATTAATGCAAATGTTAAAATTAGAGAAAAATGTTAGTGAATGGTTCAAGATAGATTACATTCATGAACATATTTTTTGCACATTTACTGTAATGTATGTCCTCTTTACAATTGAATTATTTCTTCAAATGGAACTATTCCCAAAGATTGATGAACTTAAAAAATATTTTAATTTCAATTTTGTAGAATTTTAAGTAAGACAAGAGAAAAGAGTCTAACAAAATTGAAATTAAAATATAATTTATATTCTAATAATTTGAAATAATTAAAGGTTTAAAGATTACGATATATATATATATATATATATATATACATATACATAGGTATTGAATAAATATATCAAAAGGTATACATATATTTAAAAATGAAGTTGTGCTGGTCATGTGACTCCAATATTTTCTTACATAGAATGATAAAAAGATTCAATATATATGTATTGTCTACATGTTGCATTTGAAAGTATGGTCGTTAATATGTGATCTATTTTGAACTTTTCATCATCTTCCTTCAATAATCCTTTTTCAACTTCAACTAAAAGAAAGATAGTTTTGTGTACTGCCATCCCTTGATTGAGATTGTTCATTTCATGCGGCAATCAATTAATATGAAAAGGAAATACTATAAAGGAAAGCTTATACTCTAAGTTATAGAAATATTTACTTCACATATTCACAAAGAAAAAAAAATAAAATAAAATAAAATAAAATTTTCAAGAAAACGAAAATAAATTTCATTGTTAGTGTTCTACTATAATTCAAGGCAATCAATCTAAACCAAAAGAAAAAAATCAGAATGCATCTCATTAATATACGTATGGTATATTCAATAAATATTATAGAAAAATATATGCTCACATAAATTGATACTCTTTATTTAAAAAAGTAATAAATCGAGTGATGAGTATGTAAGAAAAATTCATTATTCAGAATTGTGACAAGACATTTGAAGATCATCAAAATCAGTAAAATGATATTATTCATACTTCATTTGTATCACCAATAACAATCCATTCTATTATCATTATATTGTCATTGTTATTGTTACAAATGTTATTAGTATAAGTGAAATCACGAGTATTATGGTATTGTAAGTATAATAAAATCTTTTCACATTTTTAGTATATAGAACATGCTAATATAAAAACACGATATCCATCTAATTTGTCGTTGTGGAAACTTCATCGTGGCCATCTCGAGCATTACTGCGTCAATAAGCATATAAGTCAGCTTGGGATCCACCTAAGAAAACATAACAGAAAGAATGGCGACGATGAAATTAGGTAGCAATCCTCGTACGTATTTTGGAAAGTTTCGGTGCCATTTCTCAGGGGTCAACTATGGAGCTCCCATCATTAGTCATTGGTAATGTTTACTTTTCTTTCTCAGGTTATTTGTATCGAGTTTGTGCCGGTATTTGTACATTTCCAACATCCGTTTGACAGAAAACGGGATTCCGTGAAACTCGAGGAGCTGATAAATGTTGGTGCTGGACAATCTATACGGAAACAGATAGAAAAATAATGGTCACCGAGTTGTATTTTAAAAATACAAATGTGACGTACGTAAATGCAAACTTTCACGTTATACAGTGTATTATTATTTTATAATTAATTAATATATACGCCGTATTAATTATTATACAAAAATAATAACATTATAGGAAATAGTCTTTTTTTAATTAATTATCGAATTTTCTTAACTTGATTTCGTTTCATTAGTTTATACTATTTATCATAGTATAGAAAAATCTTTTTTTATAAATATTATATTAAATTTTATAAATATTATATTCAAGAGTATTGTAGCAAAGATGCAATAAATTTGTTAATTTGTTTATATTGTCACATGAATTATGTATTGTGTGATGAACATATGTAATTATATCATGTGATATAACACATTACATTATATTTTCGAATTTATTGATGTTGTACAATTATTAAAATTATCAAAATCCATACTGCTTTGTAATTTACCCTCCTATCCATTTTAAATCATTTAAAAATAATAGATAACACATGCGACTTCACTTTCGATGACAAGTTGCTCATAAAGTCTTTGTATGAGGTGGGTTTAAATTTTATTTGAATATAAATCCGTAGTTAGTGCCTGGATTTCTCATTAACCACGAAGAATATTCACACGATATCATCAAGTTAAAAATTAGGCATCGCTGGTTCCAAGGAGAACGAAATTTCGTTATATAAAGATTTAAGCATGTAATAAATACCCACGTATAGCGTATTATCATTATTTTCATATATGTCATAGAACCATTTACAGTTCAGTACAGCAATGGTTTAACTTGAAAAATTATTTGTTTTATTTATTTCATTTGATATGCTGCTTAATTTAATCAATCAATATAGAATATTATTTCATCCAATTGATTAATGTGTTGTTTTTGAAAATCTTAGAATGAGAAATATATTTGTTTCAAAACTAAACAAATTAAATAACATTCTAATTAATGTAATTTTGATTGGAAATCATTGTTATCGAAAGATATATTAAAAAAGAAACAGATGATTATTTAATCAGTTCTGGATAAAGATTGAAAAGTTTATTTAACTATTTCACTATATAAATATCTTAAAAA